ATTGTTCATAAAAGGAAAAGGCAAAAACACTAGTCATTTTGGGGTATGTAGATGACATGTTCCTCACTGGTCCTGATCTGATACTATTAAAAGAGGTCAAGGCTAAACTACAGCAAGCTTTTAAGATGAACGATCTAGGTTAACTGAAATACTTCCTTGACATTGCGTTTGTCAAGTCACAGCAAGGCATTCTAATGCACCAAAGGAAGTACACTTTGGAACTGATCTTTGAACTTGGGCTGGGAGCTGCAAAGCCACCTATCACACCTATTGAAGTCAACATTAAGCTAACCACCAAGGAGTATGATGAACATACTAGCAGTTACAACACAACAAATGATGAATTATTACAAGATCCTAGCAAATATCAAAGACTACTAGGAAAACTACTCTACCTCGCTGTCACAAGACCAGACATAGCTTTTAGTGTTCAGACACTGAGTCAGTTTATGAAAAAACCATAAAGATCTAATATAGAAGTTGTACAAAGGGTAGTCAGATATGTGAAGAATCAGCCTGGACAAGGCATACTTTTATCTACTAAGAAGAAGAACATCATTACAACTTATTGTGATGTTGACTGGGCAGTTTGCCCTCTCATTGGAAAGTCAGTAACTGGCTTCTTCATTATGTATGGTGATTCACTAGTGTCCTGGAAGTCTAAGAAGTAGAGCACTAACTCTAGGAGTTCTGTAGGATCAGAATACAGAAGCATTGCATCAATTGTGGCAGAGTTAGTTTGGATGCTTGGATTGCTTAAAGATATTGGAGTGTCAGTTGCTCTTCCTGTGAACATTCACACTGATAGCAAGGCAGCAATTCAAATAGCTGTCAATCTAGTGTTCCATGAGCGTACCAAAAACATTGAGATAGATTGTCATTTCATAAGGGAAAAGATACAGAATGGGTTGGTGAAGACAGAGTATGTGGCCACTAAGGAACAACTTCCAGAAATCCTAACCAAAGGCGTAACCAAAGTACAACATGAATATTTTATGTCCAAGCTAGGTGTTCTTAATATTTTCATACCACCTATTTTGAGGGGGAGTGTTGAGGAAAGAGGAGTGACTTGAGCATGAGGGTAGTTTAATCTATTTATACATATTCGGATTAGTTAGTCTGTTAGTGGTTAAGGATGTGATGGTTGGTTAGTTAGGCAGTTACATTAGTACTAAGTTACTTGTGTGTGTGTGTATATATATATATATATATATATATATATATATATATATATATATATAAACACTGAAACAAAATAGAATCAAAGTTTGCACTGTTTCATTCATTTCCTCTCTTCCTTTCTTCTTCTCTCTTATCCCTCGCAGCTAGGTTTTCTACTGCATTCAATTTATGAACTTTAGCAAAAATCAGCATATTTCCTAGCCCCAAATGAATTCAAATACAGGTTGTCTTCTTATTCAGAGGCGGACCTACCTTGGAGGTAGGGAGTCACCGGAACCCGTTAGCCTCGACAAAAATACTGAAAAAATATATTATGCACATTTATATATACACTGGGGACCCCTCAAATAATTTAACAGGCCCCCTTAAGTAATAAAAGCCGAACAGATGCGCTGGTTTTGTAGCCTGCTCAAGTGCTTCAGTTAGTTGATGGACCCAGGTTCGAAACTTCACTCCCTCCCTTTATCTTTTTAATTCAACGATTGTATACTTAGTATACTAATCTACTATTTTTTTGTTTTATCTTTTCTGATTTCTTTAATGCTTGTACCAATACTCAACCTAAATTTTTAACCTTTTTAAAAACCCCTTGCTCACCCCTTCCTCACTCCTTCCCTTTATCTTTTTTAATTCAACGATGTTTACTTAGTACTAATCTACTACTTTTTTTATTTTATCTTTTCTGATTTCTTTAATGCTTG